CGGACAGTGGCCACAGCGGAGCCAGATGGTCACGTGAGATCCCAGCTGCTGTCCTGGGGCGCGCACTGACCGAGCCACCTCCCTGTCCTCACACCGGAGAGCCCGTGTCCAGGGCCGGTCTGTCCCACCACGGCCACCACAGCCCACGGGAAGACTGCTTCCGGCCAGCCCTCAGCCCCGGGATGCCAGCCCCACTCCCCACAAGCCGAAGGGGACACCGAGATGGGATGGGCCTGGACCCTCAGCCCCGCCCAAGTGGAAAAAGCACGGACCTCGCAGCAACGCCTGGGCTGGCCATGCCGGCCTGTGAGCTCAGCACTGCACACGGCCGGCCTGTCAGTGCACACAGCCTGAACGCTCTCAGGGCTGCTGCTCCTGGGGTCGCTGGCTGCAGAGGCTGCAGGCCCCGCATTCCTATATGGCAGGGGCGCAACCTAGAGCCACGAATGCCTTTTGCCAGGAAACCGGGAGGAGGCTGCCAAGCCCCGAGGACTGGACTTCTCTGGAACGTGCTGCCTGGCCCGGGGCCTCCCTGGGCCGTCCCACACCGTCCTGGCGCCCTCTGGGCTGGCGCTCACTGCTGGAGCGCTGGGGGGTGGGCACCCAGGCCTGGGGCGGGGGGTCAGCCGCGCAGACCTGGCTCGGAGCCTGGGTGGGACGGACGCACAGCCCAGTCATCAGGGACCCCGGCTGCAGGACAGAGGAGGGCCCTGCACTGTGGCTCACTGTGCCCGGCCACGCGTCTTCCCCCGGCAGGCGCAGCGTGGCCACTGGCGGCGGGGCTGCCAGCTCGCAGCTTTTCCAGCACGCACAGCACCCGGGTCAGCGCCCTCCTCAGCGCCGCCCCGAGGGGCCCGGGGCCCGGCTTGGAGGATTTCAGCGGCACCTTGTCCGTCGCCGTGGCGGGGCGCAGCAGCTTCTCCGTCGCTCCCTCCACGGCGCCCCATGTTTCCGGCCTGGCTCTCAGTTCTCAGAAACCTGGTAACAACCGCTCACGGTGAATACTCCGCGGACGTGCGGGTGCGTCTGTCCCCAGACAGGGCCCTGGTGGGTCCAGGGGACCGTCCACACGCCCTCTGTGCACAGAGCCCAGCAAGGGGCCTGCTGCAGCCCCCGACCCCCCCACCCCCGCTCCACCAGGTAAATGCATCCCAGGGCCCGGCGCGTCCAGAGGAGGGCGGACCGCGTGACACGTGGTGTCTCCACCCAGTGGCCATGCCACGGCTCACGAAGGAGCTTCTGGTGGCTGCGTCGTATTCTGGAGCCAACCATTTCTCTTGTTTTGCAGGACAGGAAAGAAGCACACCCCGCCCTCCCCAAAAGGGCTCACCCAGGGTTCACTATGTCTAACCTTCAAAGGGGGCCCTGTTCATCTTCTGGCCGTAAATAGGCAATTAACACCCCCGGCACCCAGTCACACAGAGCTCCTGCCAGTGGGGGCAGCCTGGGGGGCAGCCCGGGGACCCAGCACTGGCCCCACAAAGGGCTCGTGTCGATGCAGATTCTCGTGGGTGCGGCTCCGGAGAGCGGAGGCTGTGATGCAAAAGGCCAGGCCCCACGGGAGCCCATGGCGGACAGGGTACGGGCCCAGGCAGGCGGCCGGCGTGCGGCTCTGGCCTGGCTCCTAGTTAGTCACAGGCAGTGGGCAACTGGACCCAGCAAGGTGGCTGACCCCTGGCAGAGAAAGGCTCGGGCGGGCCAGGCCTGAGCCCGGGGCCCCCTCCCGGCAGCCCCCACGGGCACACAGATGGAAAGCAGAGAGCGACAGAGTGAGCCTCCCCCAGGGATGACCCCGCCAGCGAAGAGCCAGCAGTTATTGCCGAACATCTGGGACCATTCCTCCAATGCCGTCCCGCCCTTGGCCCACGGGAGCCGCCAAGACCAGCCCGCTGTCCCGGACGTGTCCGCGGGACCAGCGCTCTCAGCATAGCTTCCACTTCGTGCCTCTCTCCTGCCCCTCACTGCCCCCGGCCAGCCTTCTCCGCCACCAACATCTGCTAACACAACAGTTGCTGCCTGTTCTGAGGCCGCTCCGGGTGGTGGGGGGCTCGGTGTGTGGCAGCGGCAATCAATCAAACCTCTGTTCCGGCATCCGACCCCTCCCCACGAACGCGCGCTTCTGCTGGGAGCACCGTCGAGAAATACAATGTGCTGCTCTTTCAAGCTGACCAGCCTGGAGCTGAGAGAACAGCGAGGGGCACGCCATTCAGCGGGTCATCTCAAATGGCTGCTTTTCTGAACTCTCTACTCACACGCAGGCACAACCCGGCCCAGAGGGCCTCGCAGAGCTCAGGTCTCAACCAACGGTCGACTGGTGCTCTGGTGGTCAAACCAGGTCTCAGAAAGGCGGCAACTCATCATGCCGGCCAAAGCCCGGCTAACAAACACTCCTGCGCAGGCTGGGCCCGCCCTCGGCGGCACACATGGCTCCATATACAGTGGGGCCTTGACTTACGAGTGTTCTGACTAACGAGTTTTTCGAGATACGAGCCGTCTCTGGGCCGATTTTTTGCTTTGAGTTGCGAGCTAAAATTCGGGTTACGAGCCAGCTTCAGATACTCCACCGCTAGTTGGCACAGCGAACGTCACAGTGAATGCCACAACATCAGCCCAGCATCACGTGTCTCACTCGTTCACTTTCAGATTTGACATACGAGTAATTTGAGTTACGAGCTCCGTCACGGAACGAATTAAACTCGTAAGTCAAGGCCCCACTGTACAGTGATTCGCGCAGGGCTGCCTGCCTCCTGCCCCAGCGCCGGCGGCTCCTGGTCTGCCGATGTCCTTACAAACGGGCCTCTAAAGCTGAGCCCCATGTTCCAGAAGGGCCGCCTCCCCTGGAGGGCTTGGACTGGGCAAGGCCTGTGGTCACATCTGCTGGCTGGGGGCAGCGCCCTCCCCGGGCCACCTGCTCACTCACGTGGGTGCACGGGGCCTGGCCTGGGGCCTCAGCCACCCGTCTTCCCTGCTGGTCTGACTCTGGGTTCACCCTGCTCCCTTTTCTGTTGACACCTGGAGGGCCTCTGGCTACATCCTCACTCTGGGCCTTCGCCCCTGGTGCTCACACAGACGGGGGGAGGGGGGATGCTCTGGGCCCCCGAAGGCCCCAGCCCAGCAGCCCCTCCAGGGAGCAGGGGTTTGTCAGAACTCCCAGTCGCTCCAAAGGTCTAACCAAAAAGGCACTTGGCACCTTCTCCCTGAGCCTCCTGTGCACCTGGTCCCGGGACCCACGCACAAAGGGCCCCTTGACAGGAACGCACAGTTGGAACCCCTCCCCCCAAACACTCGATGTGTAAACCAAGGTCCAAGGCCCAGGAAGGAGCCCATGACCCAGCGAGAAGACAGGCGGCGGGGAGCACGGAGCAGCACCCACCCTCAGCACAGCCTACCACCCCACGAAGCGTGCCGCTTCCCGACAGCCACAGCCTGCGGGGGCGAGGGCCCAGGGGCAGCGGTCCCCGGGCCGGGAGTGGGTCAATGCCCACACACTGGTGTACACCCACCAGCTCCTGGGGACCAACATGGCCCACAGGTGCCAGGCTGCGGCCAGGCCTCTTTTCAGGGCCTGGCTGCCAAGGCTCCTGGGAAGGCAGGGCCCGCCTCCTGGAGCCATTGATCACCGCGGGAGGCGACGCAGGCAGAGCCGCCTGGGGCGAGGGCTGGCAGGTCACGGGCCTGGGGGGGGCCCCCAGTCCGTCCCCAGGGTGCTGGCCCCGGCCTGTGGCACACACTTCCCAGAGGTCCCCCTACTCTCTCCCTGGACTCTGCCCCCAGGGCCTGGGCCAGGGGAAGGCGGGCGGGCGGGACGGGGCGGCCTCCTTGGGACCCTGGGACTCAGCCCCTGCATCTGGGCACAGCCCCAGCGAGCGATGTTTTTAGACGCGCTCTGCCCGGTGAGGACGGGGACACCTCGGCGGGCGCAGGGGTGACTCCGTCGCGGGGCTAGTAAACGGCGTAACACGTGTACGTGGTTTTTATTACCCATCTGGCTTGTTAGGTCATAAAACACGCTCAGCGTCACACATGCAGCCGTAGCCACTGATCACACCTAGGACTCGGGGTTCCCCTCAGAAGTCGCCCAAGCCCATCACCTTGCCAGCCCGTCACCGATTTAAATTTCTCCCGAGGAGGAAAATTCCACGCGGCTCCAAGGTAAATGCATGTGCCGATCGAGGTCCAGCTGCCGAGTCCTCGGAGACAGGGGCACGGCTGGATCGGCCGTGGAGAAAGGGAAACGAGAGCCAGGGGCGGCGGCGGGCCCCTCCAGAGAACCCCCCCACGACTCCACGGGCTTCGGGGGCACACCACCAGCTTGTCCCCCAGGTGGGGGTGAGCTCTGGACTTGAGATCCTGTACCTCTTCTTTTGTGGGGGACCGCCAGGCTGGGAGGGGGAACCGCCAGGCTGGGAGGGGGAACCAAGAGAGGGAGAGGAAAAGCTCTGGAAACGGAAGCTGCATGTTCCTTCTGAAACGAATCAGGCCGGGCCGGCAGGGCAGCCCGGGCACTACAGGGAATGTGGGGCGTGCAGGAGGCAGCCGGTCCATGATTCTCTCTCATTGATGTTTCTCTCTCTCCCTCTCCCTTCCTTTCTGAAATCAATAAAAACATATATATTTTAAAATCTCATCTTTCTTTGGATAGGATTTAAAATACGCCACAACTGGTTTGGCTCAGTGGATAGAGCGTCAGCCTGCGGACTCAAAGGTCCCAGGTTCGATTCCAGTCGAGGGCATGTACCTGGGTTGCGGGCACATCTCCAGTAGGGAGTGTGCAGGAGGCAGCTGATCGATGTTTCTCTCTCATCGATGTTTCTAACTCTCTGTCCCTCTCCTTTCCTCTCTGTAGGAAACCAATAAAATATATTAAATAAAAAATAAAATAAAATAAAATACAAGGCGAGGCCCCGAATCCTGAGCGCCTGTGAAACGTGCCCGCACCTGCCCGCGGGCTCCCGGAGCATCCAGCGGCTCCCGCGGCCCCTCCCGTGCCAGGGCCTTACCTGTGCCATCTTGGCCAGGTCCAGGGAAGGCCTCTGCTCGGGCCCGTCCTCGGGGCGCCGCCGCTTGACGCCCACCTTCTTGTCGTTGAGGACGCAGGGCTGGGAGCGGCTGCGGGACAGCCCACTGGGGCGCCGTGCCAGCTCGGGCGTGGAGGCGGGCGTGCTGCTGGCGGAGGGCGCGCAGAACTCGGCGAAGGAAAACTGCTCGTGGGAGCACGAGAGCGACCGCTGCATGTCCAGCCGGGCGCCGCCCGCGGGGCTCAAGTCTGGGCTCCAGAGGTCAGCCTGTCCGCAGGTGGCCGCGCCGGGCGCCCCCGGGCCAGCCTGGCCCCCGAGGAGGCGGGGAAAGCCCGCGGGGTCGCAGGGCGAGGCGAGCGCGTCGGGGCGGGACGGGAGGCTGAAGCTGGAGCTGCGCTGCATGGTGCCCGGGCCGCCGGCGAGGCGGGGCACGCTGCCCCCGCTGTAGCAACGCCTCTTCTCCACGGGGGTCCAGACCCTGGACCCCAGGGGCCGCCAAGAGGTCCGGCAGCTGGACAGCTCATCCGAGAAGGACAGTGACCGGCACTGGCGCTTGCTGGGGGGCGCGGAGGGGTTCCCGTTGTGGTCGCTGAGGCTGAGGTCTTGGATGAGGCTGGTCACGGTGCAGGCGGTCGCCGCCTCCGGGTGCCACAGGGCACCGTCCGGGCACCGCTCGGGCAGGCGCTCCCAGAGGCTGGCGCTCGGCGGGTCGATCTGAAGGGGGCACTTCCTGTCCAGGTCTCGCCATCTGTCATTTTCTGGATCAAAAATGACAAAGAGAAAACAGGACGTCAGCAGCCCTCACACCGGCCGGGTCCCTCCTCACCCTCCTCACCGGGGCCTGGCTTCCACGGGGAAGGCCCTGAAACCACCTGGCCCCGCCTCACCTCACGGAGGAGAATCGGGCTCAGGGAGGGACCTAAACCCCGGCGCTGAGCTAGGAGCAGAGCAAGGCCCGAACCCAGGTCCCCAGGCCCCGTGGGGCTTTCTTTCTGACACACGGACTGCCTCCCAGGAGGGCCCAAAGCACCCTTCTGCCAGGCCATCCCGTAGGCTTGGGGCCTCTGGGCCTCTCTGGCCTCCTACCTGGTCAGTCCCACGTCCTCACGGCCTTCGGAGAACCCTCGCGGGCCCACCCCTGCCACGGCCCATCCCCGTCCGCCGCTGCCCACTGCCTCGCAGAGATCGCAAACGTCTGAGCCCGGCAGCCCGGCCTGCAGACCCGTCTCTCCCCAGCAGGCCCCACGCTCCGGGCACACTTCCTGTGACGTCAGAGGCAGCCAAGGATCAGGCTGAGTCAAAATCACCCTTGAAAATACCCCTGGAGAGTCATTCCTCGGCACCAGACATTCTCTATAAAACTGGAGTCTGGCCCAGCCGGTGTCTCAGTGGTTGAGCGTCAGCCCACGAACCAGGAGGTCGCGGTTGGATGCTCGGGTTGCGGACTCCCTCCCCAGCGGGGGGCGGGGCGCGCAGGAGGCAGCCAACGGGTGATTCTCTCTCATCATTGATGTTTCTAGCTCTCCCTCCCTCTCCCTTCCTCTCTCTGAAATTAATAAAAATATATATTTAAAAAACAACGAAAAAACCTTCGTTTGACGAACTGACTGCAGCCATGAGCACGGGTCCCTCTATCGGCAGCAGTGGGCATTCGATTCGTTTCTAGATTAACCACAAACCCGCCCCGGGACGGGCCGCGTGGCTAACTGAGGCGCCCTCCTGCCTGGAGGATCCGTCCCACTCTCTCCGGTCAGCCTCTCTGGCCTCAACGTATAAAACGTCCTTGTAGCCGGAGAATGAAAGGAGTCAGTTCTCAGCTCAGCCCACTGTTAAAGGCAAGTGCAGGGGGGCCGAGTGAACCTCAGCTCCCCAAAACATCAGCTCTTCTCGGCCTCACACCTTTGTGAAGGGGCAAGGCCTGGAATGATCTCCCGCCTTCATCCTCCCACCAGCAGCCTCGCACCCATCACCGAAGAGCCACCTCGAACATCATTCACCTGCCCATCGCCTTCCCGTCGGCCCCCGGGCACCACAGCTCTGCCTAGACTTTCAGTCCTGAGGCCTACATGGTCCCTGACCTTAATGATCTGCTTCCGTGTCTGCTGCTGGGCACGAGCTCTGGGGCAACGTCCGGGCACGGCTCCCCCGTGCCAGCAGGGAGCGGGCACCCAGCAGACCCCAGCGGGGCGGCTGCAGGAAGCAGCGAGTGACAAGTGCAGACAGAAGCTGCAGAGCAGGCCGAGGCTGTGTGCTTGGTCTCACTTGTCTTTTTTTTTTTTAATTAATATATTGTTATTGATTTCAGAGAGAAAGGAAGAGGAAGAGAGAAACTTCAATGATGAGAGGAAATCATGGATCGGCTGCCTCCTGCACGCCCCCCACTGGGGGTTGAGCCCACAACCCAGGCCTGCGCCCTGAGTGGGAATCGAACCCTGACCTCCTGGTTCCTAGGCCGGCGCTCAGCCCTTGCGCCCCGCAGCCAGGCGTCCCCATCTAGGTCGACGCTCAACCGCTGAGCCAGGCCGGCCGGGGATCTCACTTGTCCTTGCCCCCAGCACACGTCCCCCTTCCTGGGCCAGGCAGGCCCAACCTGGGCGGGTCCTCGAACCCCCACCCCACGGGCTGTGGACGGGTGTGTGGAAGCAGCCAGGAGCCTGGCTGAGGACTGACCTCTAAGATGCTGCGAACACGCAGAGCCCTTCCCAGACGCCGAGCACGGCTCGTGTGCGTCGACCCCAGCCAGGTGGCCCTGGCTCTGCCTGCAGCAGATAACACGGATTGTTTCTATCTTTATCGCTCCGAGAAGCGTGTATGAGAAAATAAGAACAATGGGCTATGTTTAGCCTCGTGTTTTCCCCCTTCGCTCAGGGACAGAGAGAGACCTGCTGGGTCGGGTCACCAGACAAAAGAAACAGGAATAGGAGGTGGTTTTCAGCGGCCAAGCGCCCTGGGCTGTGGGCTGACGTCAGCGTACAGAGGAACTGGGCGCCGAGGAGGGGACACCGGACGCCCGCCCCTCCCTCGTGTCACTTCTGCGCAAACCACCACAGAACTCCTCCAACAGCAACCAAGGCCACCGACTCGCGGGCCGCTGAGCAGGCGGCACTGGGAAGGCGGGAAGGGTGTGGCCCGGGTTCTAGGCTCAGCTCTGCAAGTGCCTTCAGCTCTGGCCTCGTTTCCTCACGTGCAGACAGGGGTGGCATGGTGTGGGAACTCGGGACTGCGGGGCAGGGCCTGCGAGGGCACCGAACAGGCTGGCGATGCTGGCGCCACCCCTTGGGGCCGGCTCTGGGGGCTGCGGCCACGACCGGGGGACTGCATGCTCCACACCAGGACCCTCAGCATGGCTTTGGGGCACCGGCGGGAGCTTCCGGGGTATTTGCTAGAATGCAGACCCGAGGCCAGTCCCTGACCTGCAGACAAGCTCTGGGCGGGACCTGCCTGTCAGCAGGTTGCCCAAGGCGTTTTCCTGCGAAAGGGTGAGAGCCCCGCCTGAGGCCGCAGCCCACAGCACGCCGCCCCCAGGAAGCGTCGGGGTAGATGGTCCGGTCCCTGTGCTGCTGGGGGCCGGACCCCACTGCCCGACGTGCGGTGCTGCTTGTTTTGTTGGGCCCATAACAAAGCAGACCATGGAGGAAAGCGACCCACCTTCCATCCCCAGAGTCCCTTTCACAACGGAGGGCCCCCAGGTGTTCTGGGTGGGGAGCCCACGATCTGCGGCCTCCCAGCTTCTTCCTGAGACACCTCGGTCCTTCTCAGGGAGGCTTCTGACATCACGCTCAGCAGACGTGGGGTCGGGGGTGGTACGAGGCCTGGGAGGTGGGGCACCCCCAGTTCCGTGCCATCTCCACCCTTTTAAGCCCCAGGAGCATCGGAAGTGTCCCTGCTTCCCTGCTGAGCCCATCTTCAGGGGCTGAGACGCGAAGCAGGACTGTGTGTGGAAGCCATGTACCCACAGGGCCTGCCTACAGACGAGGGAGGAGAGGTGGGGGGCGGGGGGACTGGACAAACACACAGAAAGCCCAGGCGCCATCCGGCTCCCCTTCTGTGCACGGACCAGGCGGCCTCAAAGGGCCCTTCAATGCAGGGGCCCCAGACTGAGCCTGGGGTTTCCGGGAAGCTCCCACGAGCTGGGGGCACAGGAGCAGCCCCCGCTCCAGCACACAGGGGCCAGGAGTCAGGCCCCCACCACACTCACAGGGCTCGGTCCTGAGGCCCCTGATGAAGGAGGGCGAGGCCTCAGGTGCAGAGATCGAGCTCGAAGGAGGAAGCACTCAGCATCACACACGGCTTTAACCCCCAACGTGCTTGTTTCCATCCCGCCCGGGCCCGGGGGGGAGGGGGTAATGGGGGGGTGGCTTCCCAGGGGCCCAGGTTCTCGGGGACGACCAGCCTCCGAGGTTCCCAGGCAGAGGACGCTGCCCACGGCGACACCCACAGCGGAAGCGGCTTCTAGAGAAGGTGAGCACCTGAAGCGAGGCCCACGGTGCGCGGCCGAGGCCGGCGGGGGCCTCCCCAGACCGAGGCGGCTGACTCATCCGTGGAGTTCACACCTGTCGCTGTGGCGAGGCCTCCTGCCCGGTCCCGTGGCTGGGCGGTGCTAGCAGCTCTCGGGGCTGCAGGAACCCCCTCTGCTGGCTCTGGGGGTAGAAGCTCACAGCCTGCCCTGTGGTGACCTGGGAGGCCCGGCCTGCGTGGCTCCGCTGGTGAGCACTGACCCATGAACCAGGAGGTCACGGGGCGATCCCCGGTCAGGGCACAGGCCCAGGCTGTAGACTCGATCCCCAGTGTGGGGCGTGCAGGAGGCAGCCGATCAATGATTCTCTCCTACCACTGATATTTCTCTCTCCCTCTCTCTCTCTCTCTCTCTCTCCCTTCCTCTCTGAAATCAATAAAATTTTTTTTTAAAAGCTACTAGACCTCAAAGAGAAATCTTTCTGTCCAGCACGATTCAACACAGCCAACTGGTTTCCCCCGAAGACACCAACGCCGGGAGCCCCCGGGAGCACCCCTCAGGCACGGAGGAGACGAACGGCCAGGGAATGAAACTCGGCGGCACCGGCTGGTAATTAAAATGCTGACAAACGGAAGGAGCGGCACGGCAGGGCTGCTGTAATATTTTTACGATTCCTTTTTATACACAACGTGTGACCCTTCTGCTCACGCTGCCTCCACGCCCTGCCTGTGCTGTAACTTACATTAATAAGTAATTTATTGCCGTAACTCCTAAAGTAATTACGGGCTTCCATCCATTGTTTTTTTTTAGCACACGAATGGTTTGCTCTCTGTCCGCGGACTCATATCTACACGACCCTTCCCAGTGGCCTTTTTTGCGGCCATGGGAGTACGTTCGCGTTCCCACGGACATCGGATTCCCAAGTCTTCCCCTCGCCCGAGAGGTGAAGCGAATGGACCGTGTAGTGTCCATTGTCCCTGCAACTCAGACCTCATTTAACGGGTGCAATTGACCGGGGGGGGGGGGGGGGGCCGAGGGGGCGGGGGGAGCCTGCTCTCACCCCCACTTGCTATTTCACCAAAAAAGACTCAACTAGTACACGTATGACCTGTGTCATGTGACCTGGGTCCATGTGAAGAAGTGATGGAGGCGGGAGGGAGCCGTGCACCAGGGGCCGGGCAGCCCCACCTCTCCCAGCACATGGGATTCCCTCGGGCGCAGCCACGCCCCTGCCGCTCCCACTAGAAATCCTGGCAGCAACAGGGGCTGGTCCCCCCTCCCCTCCCGTGGCCAGGCCACACCCAGGAAGTGGCCACTTGACCAAGGTTTCCTGTATCAAAAACACACTAACCAGCCATGCGGTGGCTCTTCCGCCACGAAGGTTTGCAGGGGAAACCTGGCCGCACAGGGTGCTGAGGATGGGCTGGGAGGTAACCAAGGAAACCAAGAGGCGAAGGTGGGCTCTGCTGGAAGCAGCCCAGGGGCACAGGCCCTGCCCCCCCTCCGCCCTGCCTCCCACCCACACCTCGCCCGGCTCTGCTCTCTCCTCCCTGTGGAAAAGCACAAACCACTTCTTTGTATCAAGTTCCCAAACTGTGGAGGGGGTGGGGGGGACACAGAGGTGGAGAGGGCCAGCTCCTGGGGCGGAGAATGGCGTACTTTACAGGGAGGCGGGGTGAGCCCTGGACTGTGAGCGAGGCATTTCTGTCTGTTTTTTGCTAATCCTCACCCGAGGGTATATTTCCAATGATTTTTTAGAGAGAGTGGAAGGGAGGGGGAGAGCCAGAGAGAGAGAAACATGGATGTGGGAGGCACATCGATGGGTTGCTCCTGCACGAGCCCGGACCAGGGGCGGGGATCGAGCCTGCCACCTAGGCACATGCCCTTGACGGGAATCGAACCCGGGACCCTTCAGTCTGCGAGACGACGCTCTGTCCATGGAGCCAAACCGGCCAGGGCAGTGAGGCATTTTGCATTTCATCTGAGTGGGTGCCGAGGAGGCTGAGCTGCTGGAAAGGGCAGCTTTTAAAGAGGAAGCGAACAGGCCGCGGCCCTCCCCGCCCAAAGGCGCTCGCCCGGATTTTCCAAAGAACATTTAGGAAACTCGAACGCGTTCGGCTTCAGCTAGGACCCTGTGGGGCTGCGGGGAATGACGGAGTTGCAGGGCCCAGCTCAGCTCTCCCGGGAGATCCCACAGACCAGGCCCAGACCATGAGCCCTTTATCTCCAGGAGACAGGCAGGGCAGGGGGTTGGCGACTGTAAAAATGTGACGTTTTATCTCTGCTGAGCACTGTCAGGCTCTGGAAGGGCCCAAAACCCACTTGAAAAGTCTGGCCGGACCACAGAAAGGAGGCACGCCCGAGATGAAATCGCACTGCCCGGGATGCCCTCCCGGCTCCCAGCCCGGGGCGAAGCCACACCTCCGTCCGTCCTGGCTGCAAGGGGCAGGAGCGGTCACCTGAGCTCCAGCAGCGCAGGCACGGGCCGGGAAGCCTAGGCCTGCTCACGTCCCCGCCTCGGCTGGCGCGGGAAAGGCGGGAGGCGGGAGGGCTGAGCGGCACCTGCTGTGGGCTCCGGTCTCCGATTCCTGCGAACACCTGCCATCAGCAAGATGAGAGACCGAGGCTCGGGCACGTTTGTCCCCAGCTCTGAGGGCCGATTCGCTCTCCCTGCACCAAGCACCGCACGTAGTAGTTGCTCAATAAACACCTGCGAGACAGGAGCCGAGAGGAGCCCAGCTGTGCAACGTGCAGTGCGCTCTCAGGTGGGTCGGGGCCTCTTGGATCAAGGAGGACTGAGCAACGGGAAGACAAGCATGTGGGAGAGAGAGACGCTGAGGAGACGGGCCAGGGCACCCCACAGACCCGCTGCTCCCCGCGCTCCCCTCCTGCCAGGCAGGACCTGGTGTGGGCTGCACAGCAGGCGCAAGCAGGACCCCTGAGGGGCAGATCCCCCCGCCACTCTGCAGACAAGCGGGCCCAGGCCTGTCGGGGGCCTGGGCCGGGGAGAGGCCTCTGCAGGAAGCAGGCTCCGCAGGCTCCACCCGGCTCGCACCTGGAAGGAGCCGTCTCTCCATCTGACTGTCCCCAGGGCCTCTGCCTGGCTCCCTGGGCCTGAGGGTCCTCCCCGCAAGCGGCTGCCTCACCCCCACTCGCTCCCCCAAGGAGACCCAAGGGGGCCCTCTGTTTGGACTGGCGCCTCCTGCAGGGAGCAGGAGAGCCGCTTTCGTCTCCGCCCTCTTCCTCACCCGTCAGTTACAGCGCTCGCTGCGCCAGTCTCCTTACAGCGTCATCTCACACAGCCTCCCAGCAAGCCCGCCCGGCAGGTGCTATCACAGTAGCCACTGAAAACATTCTTTTGCTGTTCATCCTCACCCAAGGATATGTTTCCATCGATTCTTAGAGAGTGGAAGAGAGGGGGAGAGACGGAGAGAGAAACATCCATGTGAGAGAGGCACATGGACTGGTTACCTCCTGCATGCACCCGACCAGGGCCAGGGATCGAGCCTGCAACCTAGGTACAGGCCTTTGACCAGAATCGAACCCAGGACCCTTCAGTCCGCAGGCCAATGCTCTATCCACTGAGCCAAGCCTCCTAGGGCCATCGTAGCCATTTTACTAAAAGGAAACTGAGGCTGAGAAAGCTGAGCAGTTCAGGCCAACTATCTGAGCCCCCCACCGCCCATGACAAACCTGCAGGAGCCCCACCTCACATGGCGCACTCAGCTCTAAGCCAGGGAGGCCGAGGCAGGGACGGCCTGAGAGGAGGGCCGCCCCCTCCACCACCCGGGGTCCTAGTCCAGCCGGTTCAGAGCTGAAGCCCAGGCCGGGCTGAGGGGCCGGGCGCCCAGGGGCCTCCCTCCCGGCCATGCTCAGCTGGACGTGCGGCCCTGCTCGGGGCCACGTGGCCGGGTGGCTGAGGTCTGTCGAGAGCTGTTAACCCTGGGAGGGTGCACTGGGGCCCTGTGTGGGGACGGGCCTCAGAAGCGGGTTGAGGGGTGAGCCAGGCCAGGTGATCCTCTGTTGGCCAACGCCCGCCCGGGCCCTCCCTCCGCGGTGGCCTGTGACTGAGAAGAAAGCAATTCCTACTCCCCCGACCCGGGCCCAGCTCTGCCCACAGGGGCCTGGGGGCACCTCGAGAGGCCCAGGTCTCCCCTAAGTGAACGCAGCCCCTGACGCCGCTGCAGTCCCAGAGGCCCTGCGGGGAGGAGCGTGGCCCGCCCAGCACCCACCACCCCCGAAGCGCCCCCTCCGGGAAGTGGGGCTCACAGGAACTGCAAGGGGGAGGCTGAGAAAGGGGCCAGGCGGCACGAGCCCCGGAAGGCAAACAGCATCGGAGAGCCGCAGTCCCTCCGGGAGCCTGGTGCTGCCTCAGCGCCTCAGAGAAACTCATGGCCAAGGTGCCCCAAAGGCAGGAGCCACGGGGACGGACAGAAAGGACACCGGCGATGCTCCGAGCAGGAGAAAACCATACAGGCGACCTGCCACCTTCCCAGCCCCGTCTTTTTGTCTTTTTTAATCCCCACCAGAGGATATTTTTTCATTGGTTCTTAGAGAGAGCGGAGAGGAGAAGCGGGGAGAGAGAGAGAGAACTGTGGCCCTTCGGAGCGCAGGCCGACGCTCTAACCGCTAGCCACACCGGCCAGGGCCCTCTCGGCCCCTCCTAAAGAACAGCCACGCTAGCGGGGACGGGGCTGCCTTCTGGGGAGCGAGTCGGCCGTCGAAGACAGCGCCTCAGAACCGCGCCTGCCCTCCGGCCCGTCCAGCCCAGCGCTGGGAGGCGTCCCGAGGAATCACCCAGAATCAGACGCAGCTTCGACGCCGGGTCACCGTTACACCGGCCACCGGACACCCTGCACCCCACAACCCAGAGGCTGCGCCGCCGGAGCGTCCAAACCCCAGCGATGCAGCGCCGTCCACGCATCGACAGGGAGCCGGCGTTTCACGCTGATGGTGACTCCGACAGATGAGGAAAGCATCAGAAATGGTTTCTGGACGTAGTTTTACGTATCCCTGTGCTCACCATGGACGCGGCCGGGAAAACAGTGCAAAGGACATAACAACACCCGACATGGAGGAGTTCTCACCGGGCAGGGGCGGGGGGCTTTGTTCTGTACTTTACCCTGCGGTGCCTTTTCTGAATCAAACATGGGGCACTGTTACTGTGATCGCCAGACAGACCCAGTGCTGTCTGCAGCCGAACTGCATCTGCGAGCCACACTCCACCCCTGGCCCAGCAGCCCCTGCACCGCTGGGACCCACGTCGCCAGGACCCAGAAAGCGCCCCCGCAGCTGCCTGGGCCTGTGTCCGGCCCTCGGGGCTCCCCGGGCGACTCAGGCCCCGGTGGGAGGGCCGGGAAGGGCTGCCCGCCACTCGGTTACTCACCCATCACTCCACAAGAGAAAAGGGTCGGTCCGTGACTCATCTTCTTCGGCGGGCGCTGCAAACAACCAGAAAAGCCATTCACTCTCCGAGCCACAGAAGCAGGTCCGCACACCAGCCTGCGCGGAGCCCTCGCTACCGCCACGCTCGGGCGGCTGCCTGGGCCCACGCCGGGGGAGCGCAAGGAGACGCCTGCCCGTGATGCGGCCCGAGCTCTTTGTCCAAAGTCTCCAGTGGGTCATGGAGTCTGGGCCTCCAACACCCACGAGAAGGCCCATGACCTCTGACCCTGGGCTTCTCCGTGGAGGGATGACGGGTGATGTGCGCAGGTGACAGGGTCGGGGTGAGCCGAGGCCCCGCACAGCCCAGCCTGGGAGCGGAGGGGACCTCACGGTAGCAGGAAGGACCCCGAGGGAAGGGCCGAGGCCCGTGCCACCCCAGGGAACCCCTCCCAACTGAAACAGAAGCTCGAAGGTTGTCATCGCTCTCCACGTACAACGTACAGCGGTGGCACCACATCCGCAGTGGCTCCCCCCCCACCCCCGGCCGGGGCAGGACACCATGGCCCCCGGTGAAAACAGGCCAGGGAGGCCCAGCAGAGCCCCCTGAGCATGGAACATCCCGGGGCTCCCTGTGCCTGTTCTGACCTCTGGGGGGAGAAGAGGTGCCCGCCTGGCTCAGGAAAAGTATTCCAGACTCGTTCATCCAGCCCCTCCACCAACCTGCACCAGCAACTGCCCACGGCAGGCTGGGGAGGGGGGAGCGGGGGGGCTGATGGTACAACGGAGAGCAGGTCCCAGCCCAGGAGTCGCTGGTCACCGAGGCCCTGACTTCCGAGGGCAGCCCAGGCTCTGGCTCTTTAAGGCCTGGGAGGGTGAGGGTGGGGCCAACAAGGAACACCTGGCCCAGCCAGATAAGAGGGGTGGCAAGTGCAGGGCACCCGGTCCCCACCCTGTCCCCAGCGCCCGGTGCAGGAACCTTTGCCCTCGGATATGTGACCAGGGGCGCAGAGGGGGCGGCCGTCTTGGCCCCCAGGAAGCTCACAGTTCATGGAGGTCACAGTCACGTGGACAAACCTGACCCGACAGGGAGTGGGGCTGGAGGAGAGGGACCCAGACTGCGGGGCTGGGGAGCAGGGCTGGCTTTTGGGGGAAACTGGGAAGTTGGTGCTGAGGGACCAGAGGAGCTTATGAGGGGAAAAGGGGGTGCAGTCCTCTTATGTCATCAGGATGGCCGCCCTCCTGGACTCCTGGACGCAACCACCCATTGCACAGGCCCCGGGACCATAGCCCGCACCCCCCGCCCCTGCTCGGTGGGCGGGAGGCAAACCTGCCAGGCGAGGAGCCCACAGAAGCCCAAGCTGGGACGGGCTGCGGATGCAGGAGAGAGAAGCAGGCGGCGGCCTGCGGGCTGTGTGGGTGCAGGGCCGCTGAGGGGGGGCCACGGGCCAGACAAGAGCGAGAAGCAAACAGTGAACCAACCCACTGCCACTTGCTGCTGCGGGTTCCAGGCAGAGGGGCACCTCGGGGCCCTCCCAGGGAACGTGGGCACATAAGTGGGCACCACAGAGGGGGCTCCCTGGGCTGCCCCCACTCCCTCGCTCAGCGAGGATGTACTGTGTTGGCTGGGGGCCTGCCTCCCAACTTGGAGGACACACCTGGAATGTGAGTGCTCCTCACTCCACTCCTCCCCCCGCCCGCCCTGCTCCATGCCTCCCACTCCCCACTGCGAGACTAAGCCAGCCTCCTCACGGGTCCCCTCTGTGCCCTGGGCCCGTTCTCCATTCCCCCCCAGCCCACACTGTTCCCCTCCAACGACTTCCCACAGCAACCGGAATAAGACCCAGGCTGCCCCCCCCGCAGGCCCATGAGCAAGCCCGGCCCTTGGCCCCATAGCTCCATCTGTCCCACACGCAGCTCCACAGGACGGCCAGCTTGCTGCCACCCTGAGGCCTGGGGGGGTCCGCATGATGGGGTCTGGGCCCTCCTGTCCTGCGGCCTCTTCAGGGCGCCCTCCTCACCACGTGCGCTCGGGGTCTGGGCACCTAACCAGTTCATTTGTTTCTGTGCTGATTCTGCCCCCGCCTCCCACCCCCAGGCCTAGAGCTCCTTGAGGCTGCTGCCTTGTCCAGGGCGTTCCCAGCGCACAGCAGGCTCCACGGGACTACCCGCTGTCTGGCCGCTGCGGCCACCTGTCAGCCCCGGGGACTCGGGCCAATGGAAACGGACTTTCACTGGGTGGCCCTGCTGCCTCTCCAATGGCTGGGCTCAGGCCAAGTGGCCCCAGTGGGGAAGGGAGAGCATCGGGCAAGCGGTAGGGGCGGCCCCAGGCCGGCCGGGTCCTCCCGTGGCCTCTGACTCTAAGGGCCCAGGGGGCCAATGGCTAACACTGACATCTACAACTCGAAGGAACCCCTTCGCCAGGTCCCTGTCCTAGGGGAGCCCCCCTCCTGGTCCCCTTGTCGAACATGTGGAACTGATGGAGGGGTGCAACCCTGCTTCTTCTGCGAGAAGCACCCCGATTCTGCACCAGGCTCCTCCCTCCCTCGCTGCCTAGATCGAGGTGGGACTGGGCCTCCAGCTCCCTGGCATGGGGTGGGGACAGGACACAGGGCGGCTGAGCAGACACTCCTGGCCCAAGGCTCTGACCCGGGACCAGGCCGGGCTGGGGCTGGGGCTGGCCCACCCGGCAGGAAAGCCTGAGCCTGCCAGCAGCACCGCCTCCAGGACCCTGCGAGCCGCCCTGCCCGTCCTACCTCCGCCCAGCTACGGAGGATCTAAGAGTGACGTGTGAGCAGAACCACGAGGAGAGATTTCTAAGTCAAACCTGCTTAACCAACATGGCATTTCTAGAGCAGTGCTGTTTTTTGTGGGTTTTTTCCAATATACTTTTGATTTCAGAGAGGGAGAGGGAGAGGGAGAGAAACATCAATGATGAGAACCACTGATCGGCTGCCTCCTGCACGTCCCCCACTGGGGATGGAGCCCACAACCCGGGCCTGTGCCCCGACCGGGAATCGAACGGTGACCTCCTGGCTCATAGGTCTACGCTCAGCCCCTGAGCCAGGCCAGCAGGTGAGTTTTTTCTTCGAGACACGTTTTGTTTTTGCTTTTCTACAAAAGGCAGTTTCACCCTCTTTTCCTTTTCCACGGCATGATGGTCCAGTCAGTCAAACTGGTGTGTGTGCAGCCCATCGACGTAACGATGGAGAAACGCTGACCGACGGCACAGTGGCCGTTTTAAGGCCACCCACAGGTGTGGCAGAGTCCGGGGCTAATCCCTCCCCTGGAGCAGCAAAAGGGAAATAAAAAGGAATCGGCGCCCCATCGTGCTTCCTGCGCCCCGTCTGAGGCTGGGCCACGGTGGACAGGCTAGAGCATCACACACCCACTTCCTAGGGAGCAGGCCCAGGCACCCCCGACCCCTGACCACTGGCCGGTGTCCCGGGACCCAGCACAAGTTCCCATGGCTCCAGGCTGCCCAGAGCTGTCTGACTCCCAGCATCGCCGTATAAGATACAATTCCCACTGTGGGTGCCCCACTGCAGGCGGCCTGCCTCACCCTCTGCAACCTGCACCCACTGGGGGAGGATGAGCCGGTCGCTGTGAGCTGGGGGCTCACCAAGGAGTCTCCCAGAACGCTGGGTGTGCACACAGGTGCACAGATGTGGCCGGGCCTGGCTGGTGCCAGCAGGGCCTGGTGTCTGTGAGGCTCCTTAGCTCACGAGAGAAGGTTCTGGAATCAGAGCCTCCATGGGAAAGGCAAAGGCTGCAAGCCAAATGGAGGCTTCGGGGGCCCTGACTCCAATGGAGACACAATTCCGGTCCCTCCTCGGAGAGGAGCTCAGACAGGGCATGGCGGCGCTCCCTCTGCCCACGACCCGCTTCCGCCCCCCTTCCTTCTGCGGATCCTAACGGGGCAACCATGTCACCGCTTCCTCCTGCAGCCGGGGCGCCGGGAACCAGTGCCCACAGGTGAGCTCACACTTGGGCACATGAGGGGAACCGGCGGGGCGCCCCAGCCTCTGAAGCGGCACACGGGAGGCCGCGGCCTGCGAAGCAGAGGGAGAGCCGGCCCAGGAGAAGCGCCCTGGGGGATGTAGCGGGGCCTGGCTCCCAGGCTGGGGGAGCTCAGGCAAAGGTCTTTGCTCGCCCGGGGAAGGCGCCCGACTACCTGGGACCCGGCACGTCCCAGTTCACGCTTCAGGGATCCTGGCGGCACCGGGAGAAAACGGCCCTCGGAGCCCAGGCCGCTGGGTGCCAAGCCTGACGAGGCCACGAATTCTTCTGACTGAGCAAGGGGCTCAGCCCTGGCCTCCTCAGTGAGGCCGCTGCGGGGCAGGCCAGGAGGCTGGGGAGGGGTTCCGCCTGCAGACTTCGGAGGGGCTGGAGCCCTGCGGGGAGAGGGCCGGCCTGGCGGCAGATGTCACTCTGGAGGGAGAGCACCCCGGGGGCGGAGCTGGGGGAGCTGTCCCCAGGTCAAGCGTCTGGGTGGCCTGCCAGCAGAGCTAATGTTAGAGCAGGAGGAGGAAGAGCCAGCCGCAGGCAGAGGGAAGCGGCGTGCAGTGGGGGAAAGGGGAACCGAGCCGTCGCGCTGCCCATTGTGCAAGCCGCAGGGGCCAGGGCAGCGGCCCCTCCTCGGACAGGCAGTGTCCGCGCTCCTTCAGTCTCCCGGGAGCAGGGCCAATCCGCGGTCACCAGCGTTTCGTTTTCAGAAAAAGGAGAATCAGAACCATTCAGTGGGCTCCTGGGAGGCAGGGAGGGGCTGGCCGGGCCCCAGGAGCACGGGTCCGCCCGCAGGCCTCTCCTCAGCCAGCACTTCCAAGGCCCCAGTGACTCCCCTGCAGTTTATTTTTAATATATTTTTTTTAGTCTTCACCCAAGGATATTTTGATCTTTTTCCCGCTGATTTCTAGAGAGAAGGGAAGGGAAGGAGGAGATGGGGAGAGAGACACAGCAATTGGTTGCCTCCCACATGCACCCCTACTGGGGCTGGGGAACTTGCAACAGAGGTGCGTGCCCTTGACCGGGAATCAAACCGGGAATCAAACCGGGGACCCTTCCGTCCACAGTGACACGCTAGCCACTGACCACGCCGGCCAGGGCTCCCCTGCGGTTTGAGACTTTCTCTCCTCACAGCTGAGCCTCTGGCACCTGGTCCCCGAAGGCCAAATGGCCTGAGGTGACTCACATTTTCCTCTTTAACCTTAAGTCCCACTTCTGCTATCTTCTTGGTCTGAGTAGAAAACAAAGAAGAAAGCTGTCCATCTTTCCTGCTGTTATCTTGATGGCATTTACTGAGGAGGATGCTGCCGGCTGAGCAGCCCACGCAAAACCCCCACTAACTTCCTCTCAACCTGGCCAGCCACTCAGCCAGCTCTCCGTCGCGTTATCTCACATTCCGTCTGGGCATGTCATCGCGAGGCTGAGATTATTAGGGTCTTTCTGGGCTATTTGGTCCGAGCACACCCCCCCCCCCCAGGCCTCGCCAAATCCTGAGGGACCTCGGCTGGGAGGGAGCCGGGCTGGGGCGGCTGGAGGTCTCAGTGCAGGAGACAGGGCTGGGCTGGAAGACAGCAGCTTCCTGGCACCGAGCCACGAGCTGTGACCTGTGCCCCACCCCTCACCCCCAGCCCCTGGGCTCTGCCACTGTTTCCTGTCTGTAACGGAGACAGAGGAGGGCTGCCCCTCAGGGGGTGGGAGGCTCCCGGGCAGGGAGGGGGACGGGACCACGCCTCCTTCCCAGGCGCTGGCCGCAGCTGCTCCCTGCCCCCGCCCTGCCCATTGCGCTGTGCCGGCGGAAGCAGGCCAGGCCTGGGCTGTGGCCAGCAACCTGTGACCCACAACACACAGGCAATGAGACCCCTCTCCAAAGGGGGCGCTCCCCACAGCTGGCCCGCACATCTGGGAGCCCAGGGGCACCGTCCAGCCCGCAGTCCGTGCTGGGTGAGGTGGGCCTGGTGCTCACTCTGGGGACAGGGAGTCTGGGAGGAGAGGAGCTCTGACCCGGCACCAGCAGGGTGCGCACGCACAGCCACTTTCTCCGCCCCCATCCCCTGGGCTGTCTTTCCTTCTCTCTTCCAGATGAGGCTGCCTTCCCCCGGGCTGGGACCGACTCCTCCTGGCAGGAGCTCAGCCCACGTCCGTCTGAGGAGAGGAGCGGCTCAGCTGACCTTGGCCCACGTGGCCTGGAACCAGCTCCGGGGCCAACCCCAGCCAGGTCTGCCCTGAGACGGGACCTGGGTCAGGGCGCTGAGCCCACAGCGCAGCTGGAAGCCGGCAGGACCCTCACCCTGAAGGCCATCCCCGTCCCCCGTCCGGACAGAGCTACTAGATGTGGCTTCCGTCCCGCAGGAACCGCCGCCAGCAGCAGGCAGAGCAGGCTTGGCCCCGAGCTGAGCAGCCGCCGGGCAGGGGAACCTGCACTCGTTCACCCTACAAACGTCCCCTGGGCCCCGCCCGCACCAGGCCTCGGTCTCGGCCATGCGGGCCCAGCAACAAGCAAGAGAGACATGGCCTGGCCTTCATGAAGCCCGAACTCTGGTGCAGGAGTCACTCAATACACAAGACCCAGACGTGGAGGGTGCCTGGGCCGAGGAGACCAGGAAAGGGGGCAGAGGGTGTGTGTGTTGGGGGAGGGACGGGTAGGAGTGGTACTAAACTGTAGGCCGACTCCTCCAGAGGAGGAAAGGAGGGGGAGAGTCCTGCTAAGGGGAGTCTTCCAGGCAGGAGAGCGTGCAAAGGCCCTGGGGCAGGCTGTGCTTACCAAGGAGCCAGGGCAGATGCACGCGGGGAGCAGCAGAGAGAGCACAGCGGTCATGGGGCTGGAGCACGTGGGCCTGGTGCATCCCAGGAAGGGCTGCAGGCTCGCTGGGCCTGGATGGGAAGCCAGGGCCAGCCTCTGAGTGAGGAGGGGCTGGGTGAACTGTGCCCCCTCTGGCTGCGGGTGGGGAACAGGCTGAAGGAGCCAGAAGCAGGGCAGTTCCCACAAGTGTCCTGGCGGGAGAGGGCGGCCAGTGGGGGTGCTGAGAGGCAGCTAATGACAAACACACATGAAATGCCAGCTGGAAGGCAGCACCGGCCGAGCCCCGCCTCATCCCTGTTTGTGCACTTCGTCCAGCCCAGTGCCTGGCGCCCGAGGTGCTGTCAGGTGTGGGGAGTGGACACGGGTCCCGGGCTCCTGCAAGGGCTGGGGCCCTGCCTACCAGCTCTCAGCCTGTCACGGGGGAGCAACAACGGGGGGAGCCCACGAGGGTGCTTGTGTGGGAGCTCCCATGGGGTAGTGGGGGCGCCAGGCAGCATGACCACGTACAGTGGGCCCCGCGGACCACAGTGGCTGCAGAGCCCGGGGACAGCCCTGTCCACAGCCCCTCCCCGGAGTGTGTGCCTGATGGGGCTTCCTCGCTCCTTCCGCAGGAGGGCTCCCGCCGGGGGGACCAGCAGGGACAGGAGGCCGTCTGGTTCCCCCTCTCACAGCCGCGTGCCCGTCCCCTGCCCAGCCCGCCGGGCCATTTGTTCAGAGCAGCACAGCTTGGGCGAGGGCAGCTGCCACCACGCCAGCCGCTGCCACCAGCTGCGCCCTCTTTGCCCTGACACTCCCGAGGGGGCGCCCTCGCCCACCGCCCGGCGGAAGTATGGCCTTACCCTGGGCCCCTCGCAGGTGCCACCCCCTGCCCGGGAGGAGCCCAGCAGGAATGTGGGTCCCGGCCTGGTATTACCTGCAGGTGCCGGCTGCCCCACCCCCCTCACCAGAGGGCTCCGGTCCCCGCCGGCTCCCTCCTTCTGGCAAGGACTCAACCAGGCTCGGTCCTCTGCCCACCCACCCCCACCCTGCCCACGGGCACGCCCAGAGCCCTGTGCACGGGGCCCTCTGGGCTCAGCCCACAGCAGCAGGGCCCTCGGGCCTCTGAGGTCACGGGAAACCAAGGCCAGGCGCTTACCAGCTCCGAGTCGAAGGGCCTGCCGGCCGTGGAGTGGGCGCCCTGCGTGTCGAGGCTCTTCCTCAGGATCGTCACCATGGCAAGGCCTCAGGAGCGGGCTCTGCCCCGGGGCGGGCACCAGCCATCCTCCGCCGGGCAAGCTCGGGCAGGGGTCTCCTGGGCACCTCCCAGGGGGCTGGGTCAGCAGCAGCTCCCCATCGGCCGCTCCCCTCGGTGGGGCCACCTCGCTGGGAAGACAAGAGGCAGGCAGAGGGCTTAGGGCTGGGGAGACCTGGGCCCGAGAGAGCTGCCCACACCCCCCACGCCGGACCCGCCTCCCCGCTGAGGGCCATACATGCAGGGAGGGCCTCGAAGGCCAGAGTCCCCTCCTCAGTCCCCCCGGACCGTCCGACCTTGAGGGTCCCCAACGCCACTGCCCTGAAGGGTACAACCATGAATTTCAGTTCAGCCACGTGACACCTTCCAGACAGATCTCGGGGTCTCCCGATCTGCTGCTCCCCGAGTGTGAGCAAGTCGTGTGAGACCGTACACTGAGCGGCTTTACGGACAGCTCAGCACTGCCCCCCGCCCCCTCGCCCCCCCAAAGCTGAAGGTCCCACAGGCCAGCCTCACTGGGGGCCCTCGGGCGGCCGACAGGCGGCAGACCCACCGTCAGCCGGTGGGGGGACAGGGCTCCTGGCAGCCTCGGTCAGCTTGGCCAGGAGACCCTGCGTCCCCCCACGTGGAGCAGAAGCGACTCGTTCTGACCAAGGTGGCCACGCGGAGGGAAGAGCCCCAGGCAAGCAACCGGGCCGGAGCCCCAGCTCTTGAAATGCACGGTCTGAGTGACCTTTGCCAAGCCCCCGTCGGAGCCTCAGTCTCCCTCCCTGAGGAACGGAGACGGCGGTGGCTGCCTCAGAGGACCAGCGTGTCACGTGGCGACAGAGTCCAGGCCCAGGCTGGCGGGAGGCCCCGCTCGCACGAGGGCTGCTCCATGAACAGCGACTTCCCTCTCGTCCTGGCGGAGCCTGGGGGCCCGGGCCTAGCCTTCCTCAGCAGGGGCACCCACGCATCTGTCCTCTCCCGATTTTTACAGGGAAATTCCATCAACTTTAAAATGTATATTGTGCCGTGCCCGCATGGCCATGGGTGAGCCTGAGGGGGCGGTGAAGGATGGAGAAGACGGACAAGAGAAGAGGGCTGGGTGGGACGCTGCTCTCTGATGGAGACAGCTCCACGGCCTGCGAGCCGAGTCTTTATTTTATAGCAGATCCCACGAGCAAAGTAAGGGCGTGGTCACACGTTCTCGCAGGTTTCAAATCCACTCAGTTACATGCACCTGGTCCAGCTCTGTTTACTTGCTGCCCCTCCCGCAGCCCACATCACTCAGCCACGTGGGCCACAGGTGCGGACCATAAGGTCACGCTCACAGCCATAGCCTTCGGCTGTAACTGTGCTGGGACTTGCACGTGGCTTTGCCACGGGAGGGTCGTGCCCTCTCATTAGTCTGAGGCTTGAACCTGTCCAAACGCTGTAGCCGCTCTCCACATTATATAAATCTTTATTGGTTTCAGAAAGGAAGGGAGAGAGAGAGAGAAACATCAGTGATGAGAGAGAATCACGGATCGGCTGCCTCCACACTGGAGATGGAGCCCACAACCTGGGCACAGGCCCTGACCGGGAATCGAACTGTGACCTCCTGGTTCATAGATTGACGCTCAACCACTGAGCCCCACCAGCCAGGGCATGAGCTATGCCATCTTGCCCAGCGCACTCTCCCCTTGTGTAATGTGTGAGAAGTTAACTTGCTCTGCCAGCTCAGGGGGTGGGGGGTAAGGGGCGGAGGGGGGAGAGGTTAAGGTAAGACCCTCTAAGATGGGGGCACCCTACGAAATGCCCAGGATGTCCTGATGTCCTGAGGTGAGCGGAGAGCAGGCCCTTCGTAAAGGCTTCCAAACTGGTGACCAGGGTCACGTCTTCCCAGCTACCCCTGAGCAGCTGGGGCAGGAGCCACGCTGGGCATTTTCCAGGGGATGGGCTGCTATCCAGTCTCATGCTCACTCGGGCTCCCACGTGCATGTGACGGGTGAGGAAACCGGGCTCAGAGAGGCTGAGGGGCCTAAGGCCACCCAGCAGGCACGTAAAGGACCCGTCCCTGAGCGCGGGCACGCTCACCGGTGCCCCATCCCCGGCCGAGGAAGTGGCCTCAAGGCGTTTCCTGCAGTAACATGAGCAGCTATGCCCTGGCTCACCTTCAGCCAATCAAAGGCCACCAGGGCCCACCTGTGGGGACGGGCCAGCAGCCTCTCACCTGGCCACCAAGGGCCGCCTGGGCTCCCGCGAGGCCTCTGAATGGCGGGGAAGCTGCTGCGGCTCGGTTCCGGGGACTCCACCGTCCTCTCACGGTGTCGGTGTCGGGGGGATTTCCTGTGGTTTCGAGCCAGGAACATTCGCGAGGAGGGAGGGACGGCACGCTCGGGACGGGGAGTGTTGAGCCGGAGCCAAGACAAACCCCAGCGTGGGAGGAGGCGCCCACGCTGCTGCGGCCGAAGCCAGCTGCCGGCAGGGCCTGTCAGGAGCCCATCCATCACCCGGAGGCCACGGACACGGGCTTCCCTCCCGCGCCCCGCGCCCCGCGTCCCGCGCCCCGCGCCCCGCGCCTGCCACCGCAACCGGCCGAGCCCGTAGAGACGAGCGTGGCATGGGCCGGGTCGGCTGCGGGAAGCGGGAAACACGGTGGGGAGGGAGAACCCGCACCAGAGCCAGCAGCGCCCACCCTGCCGCCTCCAGCCCCGGGCGAGGGGGAGGGCGGGGAGCGGGTGCCGAGAGGCACAGGGGCCCGAGCCGATCTAGGAGACCCTAAGCCGCGTCGTCTAAGATGGCCATGACCTGTTCTTCGGTCAGACTACTGACAAGCACGGCGGAAGGAAACAGAGAGGGGCGGAAAAATTAAAAACCAAAGCCAGACTGGAGAAGCCCTCACCAAGGGCCGCCTGGCCTTGCAGACAGGGGCTCGGGAAACGGCCCCGGCTGGGCCTTGGGCCTCAGTTTCCTCACCTGTCAAATGGGAGGCTGGGCCTGACGAGCTCTGTCTGGCTCGGGCTGCGGGCTTCAGCCAGGCCCCCTGCCCTCCCGGCCTGTTTCCTCGCCTGTGACATGCAAGCGAGACCCCGAGTGAGCGTGACCCTGTGGCTCTGCAGGCGCCGTGTGAGCTGAGGCGGCGGCCGGGAGCTGGCGGCTGTCCTGCTGGGCACAGTGGCCAGCCTCCCGGACGGCTCACGCCTGCCCCCGAGCTCGAGGCCCCAGGAAGCCGACAGCAGCCAAGGCCAAAGTTCACTCCCTGCCGGCAGGAGCCTCGACGTGACGCCCGGGCGCCTGAGGGGCCAGAGCCGCCGGGTGGGAGGTGGGATGTAGACCAGCCCCCTCGCCCGTCTGTGTGGGGCAGGAATGGGGGTGTTTGCACAAACGCGTTGTCCACGCTCATCCCTAAGCACGCAGGGTGCTTGGTGTCTTTTAAACATTTTTAATTATCTCTAGTATTTTCTTTTTATTTTTTTAAATATATTTTTATTGATTGCAGAGAGGAAGGGAGAGGGAGAGAGATAAACATCAATGACGAGAGAGAATCCGCACGAGGGGCGGCTCGGGGCCGCCTGGTTCCCAGGATCTGTGGTCGCATGACTCCCGTGTCTGACGCTCACACCTCCCAAGACCTGGGAATGCCATCAGAGCCTCCGCGGGCGGCCTTCCCGCACCGGCTCCTGGGAAAGCCTCACCGGTCCCACCGCAGGGCTGTGCTCTGGTCCCTCCCCCACTCCCCACAGCAGGGCCAGCACCCTCACCCCCCACAACAGGGTCAGCACCCCCACCCCCCACAGCAGGGCCAGCACCCCCACCCCCCAGAGCAGGAGGGCCTGAGAGCCTGTGGAGGAGGTCAAGGGGCCAGTGGCCCAGGGGAGCGGGTGTGAGTGCTGCTGTGCTCCTAACAAGGGGCACTTTCGGGGACCCGGGCTGAAGGGCGACCCCTGTGCATACCCGAGCCATGCTCGCTTTCCTCATTACTGCCTCCCAGAGTCAGAGACCCTTCCCGCGTCCCACAGTCCCCGGGGCGGGCCAGCCCTGAGGGAGGAAGGCGGGGCGCCGGCGAGGTTCACAGTGCAGACACCCAGGGCAGCCAGGACACATGGCACAGCCCAAGCCAGGGTTCGATGGGCGCTGCTGGACAGAGGAGCCGGCCAGGAGCGAGCCGTCCTCCCCGTCGGGAGGGAAAGGTCTGCAGGGGGCGGCATGAGTGGGGCCTCACCGACAGGCAGGAGTTCGACAGCCAGAGACAGGGTGAGGGCACCCCAGGAGGGCGCCAGGAAGTACTGTGTCCGACACCCAGCGAGCGGGGGGCCGGGCGCTGGTCCCGGCTTCTGGTGGGAGGAGCCCCACGCTGCCCAAACGGGCACATGTCCAGCTGAGGTCCTGGGGGGGGGCCCTGCCATACAGATGCACCCCCCGCCTCCTCGCCCAGCCCCCGCCTCTCTCCGCTCCTCGGCTCAGGGTTCCCCCCGCCAGACCCGTCCGTCCTGCTCTCCCTCTGTGGCGAGAACGCCACGCACAGGAGCTGGGCCATGAGGGGCACATGGTGGGTGACCCGGGACCCTGGCAGGGTAACCCTGAGCTCCCGTCCTAACAGGGCAGCACAAAGCTAAGAAACCCCACAACAGTCATCTCTGTCTCCCGGGACGTCCACAGCCCTGCCCCGACCGCGCGGCCACCGGGAGCGCCGGCAGACAATACAGGGATTGTGTGCTCTCTCGGGAGGGGGGTGCACAGCCCCCCACGAGAATGCCACGATCGTCCCGGACTCCCGAGTTACCGCCATGTGACCCGGCATGTGCCCAGCACACGCTCCCTACGGGCCCGTGGTCACGAGAACACAAAGGCGCGGGCCGGGACGCAGGGCGGAGGAGGGAGTCAGGCGGCAGGAACGCTGCTCTCAAAGCCTTGGCACCAACAGGGGTGGGGCGGGGGGAGGGATTGGGAAGGGGGGCGCTCTGCAAAACAAAGCTGCAAAGTCCGTGGGGGATGGCCATCCCCCCAGCGGGTCCATCGGAAGCCAAGGACACGAGACCAGCAGGAGCTTCGGGTTCACTGGGCACAGCAGAGAAAGCGAGGTGGACCCATCTTCCCGGGCACAGCCCCGTCCAACCCGCTGGCTCTGCCTGTGCTCAGACCCATCACCTCTTGGCAGGCTCTGCCT